CCTTTGATACTGAACAATGGATTAAAGTGTTGGATACTGAAGGAACCAAAGTCTTGACTACTTCTGCTGAGAACGTGAGTTTGGTCAGCCTAGGTCATCCCCCAGAAATGGGATATGCCAGGCCTCTGGCATTAGTATTTAGAGAAAGTTGAAGGTTTGGAACTGAAGTTTTAGGTGAACTAGAGATGGCATGATTTTAAGGGCACACGCTTTTCTAAAGCATGTACCAAAGGCAATGGCCTGATGGGCACAGTATTAAAAGTTACTATTCAATGCTGCTTAGTATTTATTTAGAATATGAAATAAAAATATCCTTATTAACTGAAGAACTGCTGCAAAGAGATGCAACAAAGAGTCTGGAAATCTCTTGACAAACATTTACACAGAAAGTGATGATAAACAAACAAGACCTAATACTTAGCACAGTGCTTTTATGGGACATATTTTATTAACAGCTTTGTATTTTTGCTCTGCCTGTCAGGAGAATCCTTTATCCTCAAACCTCTCATTTCAGATTTACTGTAAAATGTAGCTCTCTATTTTTAATCAGAGTATGGGGAACGAAGGGAGACATATATCCAAAAGCATTAGCAAGTAATACTCAGCATCTCTGAAGGCACATTTATTGAATACTTCAATTTGACTGGGAACCCACATGGCTATCTTTGTCTTGGTGTTGATGTATCATGAAATTATTCTCACACACTGATGCAGGTTTATTCATTGTCTGCCAGGGACAGAATATTGTAGTCCTTTCACATGGGGAGTAAAAGCAATTTTTTTCCCCTGAGTTATAACTCTCAGATAAGCCAAAAGACAATGTATTATTTAGGAATGTGGTGCAACCACTTCTGCTCTCTGAATGCCAGCTGATAATGCTGTAATGGACTGTGCATGTGCCTCTTGCTCAGAAATGTAAAGTTAATGCACCAGACAACTGGGAACATTTAAATAGGACCCGATTTTCAGTAAGAGAACATTAAACACTTCCTAAAACACAGTGTTTCAGGTATCTAAAAATGAGACAGTTAAAATAAATAAGACATTTCCAGAAGTGTATGTTTCATTTTTTTTTGAACAAAGTTAAAAAATATTTAGTCTTTGCCCAGAATTTCAAGACTCATTTTAAAGGCTGCTCTGTATGAGTAAATGCGGTAGTAAAATAATGAGAATTATTCATATGGGTTTCTTTTAAAACTGTGTTTTGACATATAGAGACATGTAGACATAAATTTTGCCATTAGCAGGTCAGATTTCCAAGGCTTTAAGAACTTTTCTTAAATTCAAGCTACAGTTTAAGTAGGAATAAATGTTTCAATATAATTTATTTGTTAAATAAAGGGAACTAGAACTCTGAACTTTAATAAACTTGGTAAACTCCTGGGATCTATTTAAGCTTGTTTTTACAAAAGCTCTTAGCACAGCTGGCTTCTGCAACCTTGTGGGATAGTTGAGTGATATTGCTGCATTAAATGGGGGTGGAAGTTGAGCCTTTTTCAGTAGCACATGGTTAGTTTTGATAATATATCTTACTACATGTTTTGGCAACAATTTGCAAGTGTTGTATAAGCCATACATATTCCTGGAATAAATCAAGTGGTAGTTATCTCTGAGGACACATCTTCATCTTTTCTCTAAAAATAGAGTGACAGATTATATTTACATTGTGTTAAATTTTAACTGAGGAAAAAAAAAGAAAAGCAGATCTGATGCTATTGCTGTGAGGAGAGATGGAAGATTATGGAAATTCCAGTTATTATGGAAACAAAGATTGATTTTTCAGAAGACGATTAATTCCTGCTATAATTTTTAAATTGTCATTGTTATATTTCCTTATACCCTAAGAGTCCTGGTCATTGTTATGAGAACTTCACAAATTATGGAGAGTGCAATACATAAGTGAAACATTGTACAATATGTCGACAATAATGTACAGTAAGACAGATCTTGGATACCTTCTTTCACCTTGACTCTATAATGGATTATGGTAGAGCAAATGGTAAAGATATTGGTGTGAGTTGTTTCTGATTTGTGTTATTTTTATATATATTCAACATAGTGGATGCTAGATTTATTTATGTTTTAAAACCAAACAGTTGGTCTGTACCGTATAAATTCAAGCATTTAACTCTAGGATAAGACTGAGTTGATCAACCTTGAGGAGCTGAGTTGCATCTCTGGAACTACTTGGGAACTGTAGCCTATTCCACATAGGGAGGGTGAGCACAAAACTCTGTGTGGATAAGATTCAATTCATCCAAATAGACTGAAATCACATGCTCCTCTCTACTAGTCTCTGAAAGCCTCCTGTTCAATTAAATACATTATCTGCTGGATAACCATTTTATAATGAAAGAATTAACTGGCAAAAAACCATATTCAACTTGGAACTGTTATTTGCTAAATGATGGTATTTCTGATCATTACTGCCCTCTGAGAAGGTTTACCAGTACAGCAACTTACAGATTATGTAGAGAAATCCAGTGTAGTTACGGTGACCATTCATTTATTTTTCATTTATTTTGATAATGTGCATAACTTTATTTCCAGTTGTTTAGATTAACTGATCTAGCACTGTGCTTTGGATTTGACCAGTAGTGGTAGGTCTGCTTCCCCAAAACACTGGGGAATCCCACAGGAGAGGTTTCAAACTGCCCTGGGGTGGAGCCTGATGTAAGTTCATAACAGTTGAACACTGAAGGCTACTGTGAGAAGAGTCTCCCTCTTGTGTGCTTAGAGACGTCATTGCAGCACTTCACCCCTTTTTTATGTAATTGATGACACCCAACCCAGTCCAATAAATATCTTCAGAGACAATCATATAATTTTTGTGTAGTTGTAATACAGTTTCCCTTGGCTTTGTGAGCTGAACCCTCCAAACTAGTTTGAAAAATACAATCTCTTTCTTCTAAATTTATAAAAAGAAATGTGGGGATAGATGCAGCTCAGAACTGCTGTTTAGGCACAGCTGCAAACATACTGGGGGAGTGCACCAAGCAAGGTGGTGTAATTTGCAGCAGGCCCATGACTTTCTCAGCAAACTCAAGTCTGCTAGAATCCATACAAGTATCATCTGTCATGAATTACCACCACCACCTTTAGATACAATTACTTAGCAAAATTACTTAAGATTAAAAAGACAAATGGTAGCTAAGGACAAAATTCCATATTGAGGTGTAATAAATTATACAGACAGTGAAATATATTCACTGGAGAGAGAAATCAGAGCCTCAAGATACATTTGCCTATTTAAAATTTTATCTCAGTTTGACCACCTTATAATTTGTGAAGCTGTATGCTCCGATGTCAAGAAATTAGCTGGAAATTGTGAACCTAATAGCTTTATAGTAAGAAAATCTATATCCCAATTACAAAAGCAATTTATTTGATTGGGAAAAATGCCTGGAAGATCTGCTGGGATTCAGAGTAGATCCTCAAAGAGATGACCATTTCAAATCAATAATGACTGTCTGCTTTCAGTGTCTTTTGTTAAATCTGTTGTACAGGTGGGTGAAGAAAGAAGCACATGATTGCACTGAACAGTATAAACAATTCATGAGAGCCCCTTGCTTGTGGTGTTGTGGGACTCTGCACCTCTGGGCAGCACTAAGTAGCAGAAGAAATTACATCCAATTAAATTGCTTGGCTTAGTGAAAGCACTTGACAATGTTCATTTAAAAATTACCCAGAAAGCTAAACCAGGACAGGCATCTAGTGATAAGTCCTTAGACTAGACATGTGACTACTGCTCACTGCCTTTTTCCCTTGCTGTAGTCTCAAAATTATTCCTTATTCTCCTTTTGTAGAAATCCAAACTGATATGGCCCCCAAGACCTAATGAAAGCACTCCTCCTCATCCATGTTTCTGTTGCCATGTAAACTCTGTTGCTGACTGACAGTGAAAAAGTGGCAAATCTCAGAAAGGCAGCTGACACTGCCAGAGTGTATCCAAACTGTGATGAACTTGACTGACATTATGGGACATGAGACATGTCATGTAAAAGAATCAAACTGTCACAGAAATAGAAAGACCCTACACACATATGGATGCCTGCATTTTATGTTTATACAGTAAATTTGCACACTAGTCCTTATTTTGTCTGTGAGTTTTATCTATGCTCTTTGTTAAAGCTCCAATTTGGCTACCTTCGGTTGGTATTTTACAGCAAGAGGCTGACATAAAGGCTTGTAATCAGACATCATTTTGTAAACAAGGAAAATATATGCTATATATAGAATAAATTACAAGCAATTGTGAATTGCAAGCCTATCTTGATACTGTGGTTTTCTTTGGTAATCTTACGAATCATGGCAGTGAGTTCTAAATGGATTATGAAGTGACCAGAACTCAGCAATAGCATTACAATCATTATTAAAAGTTGGGTTTCAAAAAAGCACACTTGGAAGGACACTGCATTTAAATTAGTTACTTTTTATTCCAGCTTCTTATTTCACTCTCTCTTGTCATTTAACCTCCTTTGTCATTCATCCTTGTCTGTGAATACAAGTCACTATGAAGTAATTTTAAAAATGCCATAGCAAAAAAGCATATATAAAACAATTAGTAATAAATTAGTTACTGAATGATGTACCAACAGAGGCTGAATGATAAACCAGTGCAGGTAGATTTTTCTAGCATATTCACATTATAATCAGAAATATGTGATTTATTATAAGTTTGTGTAATAAATACACATTTTAAGATGAGGGCAAAATCTACTTTTATAGCTCTTTCTTCAACAGTGAGGAGGACACTACTAACATTTATTCACAGTGTTTCAAAGGAACAGTAGTGAAACAAACTCTTAGGAAATAAGGATGGGTCTGACCTAGGTGTAAACCCAATACAAACCTGGGGAGAACCTGTTCCTTGTGGTCTGGAGCCTCTACCAGGTAGACAAATACTTCCTTTTTGCTTGTTAAAACTCTTAAAAAGTGCATATGTAAGCATTAGAACGTTGTGAGAAGGTAGTGATTGATGTTGTAAAGAGAGTACTAACCTGATCTGAAGCCAGGTGAGCATTGGTGTCGTGCCCCCACCAAACACCCAGACTGTGAAAAACACAATTAGCAGTGCTGTGGTAAACATCATTTGTTTGGGCTGGGAGTTTGCGTCTCGAATTGCCAATGCAAATGCTATTGCACCACGTAAACCTGCAAAAAGAAAAAAGACAAGGAGGATGAACTTAATGTGATGGAGAAACAGAATTTTACTCTTTTCAGTCCAAACCCAGTTCCAAGGGCAGAGGAAATTTTCAGATCATAATCCTCCTTATAAAATACTGAATTGTGCTGATTGAAAGGATGGGTTTGAATGCAATGTAAACAACTTTGAAAAGTGGACAATGAAAGTACTCTCATATTCACATAATAATCACACAGTTGCTTTACATCCACTGAATTCTTTGTCTTGAATAATTGCAAATGAAATAGTAATCTGAACTTTCTGCATGTTGAAAAAGAAATCTATATCCTGTGTTTAGTGGGACTACTCCTGAAGTCAGGTGTGAGAAAGAGGATTGGCATTAAAACCTGTACCCAAACACGCGAATTGTTTCTTGCTTGAAAAAAGAACGTTTCTTTAAAATAATTCAATGTGCTAAGACCAGTCAGAAAAAATATGGCTTAAGTACAATGAATAGGTTTTAAAAGATGATTCTAAGTATCTAAAAGGGGATGCAAAATAAATTAGTGTACTTGAAATATTATAATAGTTGTAAAATTATACACCTACGGAGACTGAAAAAAACAATAACTTACAAAGGTGGTGATAACAGCTAAATGAGTTTAAAAAAAGCCCCATAGGTAGTAATAAGCTGACTAAATAGGTCTTCTCAGAGTTCCATGTTTAAAAATTGAGGGGGAAAGTTCCTGCTGGTGCCTCCAACCCTCAGGATGCATAATACAAATAACGCTCTGTATTTTCCGATGCTTTTCATTTATCTATTTAAATTTACTTTATTGTTTTCTAAAAAAGAATTCCACAAAATAAGAGTAGAGAAGAAAGCTATTACATGTATACAATACACACTGAATCCAAAAAGTACTTTGGAGGAATTGAGAGATTAAATCTAGTAATTAAACCTCTTGTAAGGCACTGATGGCATATGCAGAATCATTTAATTAACTGCTAAATGCAGCTATTTTTGGCCTAGAACTCTAAAGCTCAAAGATTACATAGCCAGAATGCGAATTATTTGCAATAGAAGCTGGGCAGTTTATCCAGGGAACAGCACAAAGCCATTTCTGCAAGGAAGAACCAGCTTGTAGTTACCCAGTCAGTGCAGCAGGTTCCAAACACTGCAGTCAGCAACAGGGCTTGTCCTTGGATGTGCTTTTGTGTAGAAGATGTGTCTGAGATGGCAGATGCTTTACTATTTTCTTACAGGGAAAAAAATATCAACTCATTTTAAACATGTGTCTGAGAAGGGAATGAACAGGGAATGAAAAGGTATTTTTCAGTGGTTATAGTGGTAATCTGGATGACTAGCCCAGCTACATTTCAGTGGAAAACAATGCTGCTTTCCACAACTGCAATATTAAATACAGAATATCTGTTTTGATAAGAGAGGATATAGGAAAAAAAAAAGTTAATTAATATATCTCTGTTTCTTGAGCACTGGACTGGCTGTTTCTTCAGTTTAGAAAAGTAGTGAGTGCCTTCACTGCATTTTTCATTTATACAGGACTCAACATGGTCCATAAGAGCTAGTTCAGTTTCAACTAAAAAATGTTTAAAGTGAAATAAATGATGAAAGCCTTTGCTTCCAACTAAAGCAGGGGAAGCAGATGAATACACCTCAAATGTAAAGACTCAATGAGAAGCAAGGAACACTACTCCCCTTCTCTCTGTATATCAAAATATATTCTGGGTAATAACACAAATGAAGGAATGGAATTTTAACAACCTCAGAAAATGTTAAGATTCTGAAATAGAAAGATAAGGAGGATTAGATTTTCTGTAACACCTCAGGGAAAAATGCCAACACAGCAGAGTGGAATGACTGGCTCCAGTGGACACTGGTACCTCAGCTCCACCTGGAGAGAGTGGCACTGCAGAAGGAAAACACTTGATGAACCGTGAATAGAGGTTCTCTCCCCTCATCTTTCAGAGATGCTGCACTGACAGCAGCTCCACATCTGTGCTGTGATCCATTCATCCTTGGGCTCTATCACAGATTTCCTATCAGATTTTTCTGCTGGCTGTGCCAGCCATTATGGATTCATTTTTAACTGATATTCTTCAATGTGTCAGAGCCTTCAAAGAAAACAACCCCAGGGTTAAGTGTCAGAGGCCCATGGAATAACCCAGTTGGGCTGTTAGCCATCCTTTGCTCAGACTCCACACAGACACATCTCTCCCAGCCCAGCACTCTGAGGAGCTTTGAGGGATGTAGTGTTTGTTGTTGGTGTGAAGAGAATCTGCCAGGAAGGGAGACTTTCTGTAGGTAAATCTGGTGTTTTGGTTTCAACTGTAGTTCTCTGCTCTTTTCTTCCTTGCTTTCTCTTCTATTTAGCTGATTTCTTTATGTATCTATGTCTCTTGGAAAAGTTCACGTTGACACTTCCCGCCTCCATGTCTGTATGAGTGTGCAGCTGTAAATGCCTGCACAACAGCTGCCTGTATACTGGCATTATTTTTTGTTGTATTTTGGCATTTGTGTTCCTCCCTTTCAGACTCCACTGCTGCTGTAATGCCTTACATTAACAGCAACAATCCCTGTAGCACTGTGTCCCACAAGCCTCTCTGTTGCTGATTTATATGCTGTAGAGAAGAGGGCACAGTAAAAAGTAAATAAGGATATTGGAAGAAGAGTGGAAGTTCATCTGTATCCATTAATTTTCCTTTCCTTTTAATTTTATTAGCTATTAAATGCATCATAGTAGGGTCTGAAGTGAAATGAGGCATTTTTCATGGAACGTAGACCACTGGTGTGTGGTGATATCTCCCTTACAATTTAAGACTTTAAAGCATTTCTTTTTCACATGAGCAGAGACTGCTGGACTGTTTACTTTAGGTGATGTTCAACTTAATTTGAGAAGCTCAGACTTAATTTACAAGGACTAATCAAGTTTTCATTTACAATGGAATGTTATCAGGAATCGTGATTAAACATAGTTGTAGAAATGAATCCACCCTCTGCAATGTGTTGTTAGAGGAGTGGCAGAAGCAGATGAAGAATGTGATAAATCAAAATACTACTTAATCCACTTCCAAGCCTAACACTTCTGCTTTTTCTCAAATTTATTAACACTCCTCAAAAAGCAGAATTTGATGATTTCAGTAGAATTCTTTGCAGGATAAGTTATAATCAAATACTAATTGAAAATGTAGTTGCCTGACCTTAGTTGCAATCACTTTGGTGATTGTGGCTCTAAAACTCAGTTAAAAAACCAGTAAATATTTGGTGTATTTGGTAATGATAAGATAGAAAACAAAACTATCCCCAAATTCATTCTTTTCTACACCTGAATGTCTGATGCTGTGGTGAGTGAAGCCCATTTTCCCCTGTGATTGACTAGAACCTGATGCTACACCAGAATAATGAAGGTGGTAAATACTGGCAGGTTGCCCAGGGATGTGGTGGATCCCCCTATCCCTGGAGACACTCAAGGTCAGGTTGGATGGGGCTCTGAGCCCTGAGCTAGTTGAAGATGTCCCTGCTTATTGCAGAGGGTTGGATTAGACCTTTGAAGATCCCCTCCAACCAAACTATTTATGACTGTTGCTACTGACCTTTGGTAGATGATGTTTTCCTTCAAACTAAAATTCAGTGTCTTGTTTACTTATGTCAGAAATGTGTCTCTCTTCTGGCAGTCATTGTTCTCTGTTTATCACAATATACAGCATGATCAGTTTATAGCATATAAGAATGTTATTGGTAGCTAAGCACAAATCTTGGTGCATCTTAAAAAGTACAATTACACAGATAATCTGTGTATCCTAAGCGTTCTGTGAAGTGTGCAGCTGCTGGCAGTGTGAGAGACAGTCAGTCTTTATTCTACTTGCAGATGATGCCATTTACTTTACTCTAATGTTGTAAAGACATTTTTCTCTACAAAATACACTTTTTTTTCTTCAAGAATAGTTAAAAATTACTTTTCTGAGAATTTTAACATTTACAGTTTAGAAGTTTGCAATACTGCTGTTTCAGTTCTCTGCTGCCAGATTGCCCTGAAAAGCTAATGTGTGAGTGTGAGTTCTCACGTTCACTTGTTGGCTGCAGGCTACTTTCTGCTCCTGCTCTGTGGAGAATGAAATTCAACTGCAGAAAATGAGGAGAGAAAAGTTAAAGAATGAGATACACTTCAGAAGATTTTTAATTCTCTGCTTTAGCTGATGAAAAACAAAGGCCAAAATGAAGCCCCAAAACTAGATAACAAACGATATGGAGCTGTTTTTCATGCTATTGTCCAGTTGGCCACCTGCTGTCTTTCCTAGAGTGATCTACATACACAAGTTACCCGTTGGACAGTCCAGGTGAGCAGGTGGTTTGAAAGGCAGTTCCCACTGGATGTGTCATCATCTCTCACTACAGTCTAGCTGGTATTAACTGACATTTTCAGTGGCAGCTTTTAGCAGAAGGATTGAATAGATATAGAAATGAACTACTGTGTTGCTCTCCAGAGAGCTGGAATTACGTCGGCATAAATGAGGCCCCCTGAGGTGGAGCACTCCTGATGAGGAGGCTCGAAATGTGGCTCATTGTATTTCACTTGTTATCTGGCTAAATGGATTGGTGTGCATCAAGGCTGTCAATCAAGGACTTTTATCCATAAGAATCTGGAATAGATTTTTATATAAAAAGCAGGAAAATGAAGGGGAAAAAAGTGCTAAGTTTCTAATTTTAGAAAATTGTATCATAAATGGCATTGAGGGGGTCTGCATTTCTATCTTTTACTGAACAAATGTTCTTAGCTTATAAGTTAGTTTTTCCTAACTAGCGTCAGAAAGTCACGTGGAGTTATTTCTAGCTTGTACAAATCAAAAAATAGAGAATCCAGTTCAGATTTTGGCAGTTCCAGGGCTGAGTACAAATCATAGCAGAACACGGCTCCCTCTTCTGGATTTTTAAATTCTTTTTCGATTATTTTACAATGCTAACAAAAATCAATAAATATCAAGCTGGAACACATATGAAAAGGTCTGTAGAATTAAAGTCTTCTAGTCTCATGTTTCAAAGTAAAACTGTTCCTGTAGTTAAAGGAATGCCAAAGACCATGTCTGATGTGAGTATCAGTACTAACAGTGTCCAAGCTGTGTATTTATTTGCTGGTATGTAAGCATACTGTCAGATATACTACAGGTGCCTTTAAAATGACACAGCACACAAACATGGTATTCCCAAATTGCCATGGAAGTGTAGACAAATGGGGCACAATGGTTGGAAAGACAATGGCTTCCTGGGTGGTGAGTTTCCAAAAAGTTAATTGAAATATGTCTAGAGCATAGGGAAGTTGATGAGAATGCATCCATTTGCTTCAGTAGCTTTGAAGAGATGACCTTGACTTTGAGAATAATGAATTCTTTGTGATAGATATGGGTTTTTCTAGTGATAGATGACTATCTTTGTCAGTCATTAATGTGGAGAGGAAAAATACCAAAAATACCAAAATAGCTCTTACCTGAAAACATCATCATGTGCTGAAAGTTCCTGGGAATCTTTTGTTTTCGACCCAAATTCAAAAGGAAAGAAAGTGGGTATATGTTGCATGCTCTTGCTACAAAAACTGCCACCTGAAATGTAAGATGTTGAGGAAAATAGTGGAGGAACTACTGACAAAACCAGAGTTAACCAAATATTTCTCTAAAGTTATTTTAAAGTGTAATTAAAATGAATATGTTTTTATCTTCCATCATATTTTACATGTCATATCCTTCTGCTTCCAATAAAACTGTGCAGTGGCAAAGATTAGCCTTCCCCAGACATCCTGGTTTTATATTCATCATTATATATCCCACTTCAATCACTCTACTTCTACTCATCACATTTGTGTCACATGTGACTTCATCCCTTCAGTAAAATGCCCATCATCAATTGCAGAGATGGCATTATCTCCTTGAGCAGCAATTTGCAAAGAATAAATGTGCTTTTGGACCCGATTATTACTTTCTTATTTCCTGACGATTCCTTGCACGTTTTGCTTTTTCTTCCCCTTTTCTGTGTAGATTCTTTGAATGTTCTTTATTACTTCTCCATGAAACTTTCACAAAAGTTACCTTAGTTAGAAACATGGGGCTGCCTTCCCATGCCAGGAGTGCAGGACACGGGACTGTACTGCCTTGTTGGGGGGGTCCTCTCTGCCATCCAACCAACCTGTAGCCAAGGGAGCTCTGAGGGGTTGTTGTTATTCATTTAGAAATTACATATAAAAATTACTGTAAGTAAACACTGTGATCCCAACTTTCAAAGCTATTACAGTTCATCTTAAAGTGATAAGCAAAGGGCTGCTGCTCTGAGCCAAACAAATCATTGTATAAATTGTCAGTGTGAAAAAAAATCTATAGTACTGTACAAGTAAACCACAGATTTGTTGAGAAACCATGGCAGAATTAAAGACACAGACTCTTTTTCTTACCAGTAAGGCACATGATGGTATAAATAAATCTATGTACTCTAGAGATATCAAATATAAAGAAGGAAAGCAGAACTGCTTGCTTTTAAGGATTTAATATCATTTAAGTAGTTTTGGGGAAGTCCTGCTTATGGCACACATCTATCTGGAGGCAGCTCTACAGTTTGTGGATCTGCACTGGCTCTGGACAGGCAAAAAGATTTTGTGTGCCAGCACCTGTCCCCAGAGATGTGCCCCAATACTCGTCCCAATTTCCCACTCCACTTGTAAACCAGTGGCAAAAGTTCCCCAGATGGTTTAATGCCATTTACCTGGTAGCAGGTGAGCAAAACAGCAACTGTCCAAAGAACATATGCTTATGTGCCCTGGGGCAGTTATTAAGATACAGGTAATACAGATCATTGCCCTTGGACTTGACAAAAATTGATTTTTAGTATTCAAGGAACTGACTGGTTTGCTTGTTGGCTTTTATTTTTTTTCCTCATGGAACATACATTTTTATATATATATATACACATGCACTTAGATACATACTTCTTTAAAGAAAAGGATACAAATGCGCCAAATATAAAAAGAGGACTGAAGATGTGATTTTGAAATGTAAATAGTGCGAGTCCCATGTAACAGAAGATGACGTTCTCAGCCAAAAAATTCATGAACTCGAACAACTTAAACGAGAGAGAGAAAGAACATAATTATGACTCATGTCTGTAACAAACTACTGATTATTCCAGATTCCCTTGGAATACAGAACTGTTTAGATGAAAGGAACAGAAATTGCTGCTATTGCAAGGGTGGATTTTAAAACCACCTAATTTGCTATACAGTATACCGAGTGTCCTTTAGCTTTAAACATCATAGTTGCTTGCATGTTTTTCTCTGATTCGTGTATGAAAGCTTGACATAGAAAATGGTAGAATATGTAAACAGCAAGTAAGTTATACAAGCTTCAGTGCAAATGCAAGGAAGCTGAGGGAATTTAGCTTCACTCGTGTTTATGGAGGTGAGCCTGGGAAATGGCTCCTGGCTACAAAAGTGGCTGGGTGTGGGTGCACTAATGCCAAGAGAGAAAAAAAGATTTCCTAAATGGACTCCCAAGAACCTGTGCCTTTGAAATATAGCACAGTCTTTCTTACTACCATGAATAGTATCCTAGAGGTGGAAACTTTTATTGCTCTGTATGGACATCAATATCAATACTCATTTCAAACCAAGCTATTTAAGATATCATTTAAAGGTGTTATAAAATAAGATTAAAATACATGATTAGGGTAGAATTTCTTCTGTGAACAAAAAAGCAAAGCCAAAATATTCATTTGTCTTGAGGGGATGTTCTTGATTGCATTTGCAGCTGATTATATAAAAACTAATAAAATAAGTTTATCCACATTTGGAAAAAAATGCTGTCAAATAACCACAGAGAAGAGGAGGGCTTTTCTCTTCTGAAGTCACTTTTGAGCTCAGGATTCTATGCTAACAAATCCTGTTGCAGAGTTAGGACTGAAGTTTGTCAGTCTGTCTACAACAGCCATACATCACTATTTGGAATGTTACTATGGAGATTTTTTTATTTGTCCTCAGTGAGCTTATGTGTTTTTTGTAATACATTTGCGCTTCTAAAAAAAAATATCCAATAACAGTCACTAAGATTTAACAAAGGAAAAATGAGAGCTGTCACAATCATTAAAACAAATTTGTGAGGCAAAATGGCATAAACCCCATTAGCATGTGGGAAGATATTTTGGACCCCATGGCAGCACCATCAATTATCCCAAGCACATATTCCATAGGCCCCATTTTTTGCTGCAATACTGAACGACATGAAAACAAACACATAAAATATTTGCAGGTTAGCAGTTTTAAATTATTTTCATTAAATTTCAATGAGAGAAACCAGTTGTCAAAAAACCTCAAAGTATGGGATCTTGTAACCCATAGAAATGATGGTAAATCCTTGCATTTCCATTTGGGAGCAACCATGAGCCCATGTCTTTGTGGGAATGTCATCTGATACATTATTTAAATCATTAGAAAAATGTATCAGTGGTGTTATGACAGGATCTACATATATATAAAATAGCTATTTGTGTATACATGAAAATCCTTTTAGGGAAGGATACTATGGCTATGAAGAGCCACAACTGCATATTTTGGTTGTTGGGATAAGATAAAGGTGCCCCAGAGGTTTTAAAGCTGAATGATATTTCATTCTTAATTTACAAAATCTCATTCAAGACTAAAAAAAAGGCAAAGTAGATCCACTATTGATGCATTTTAGAAATACAATTTCTGAAACTAAATTTTATTTCTTGTATCTTCCGATCTTCTGTTACCATACTTTTTTTTTTTTGAGGAAAACAGATTTTTGCTGTATCATTGCTTTCACTCTATACTCTTTCTCAATAATCTTTACCAGTAAATTCAAGCTTTTACTCTTGCCTGAAGTGCTTTCATGACATAGCTGATTTTAAACTCCTCACCGCTTGTCTCCAGCAGTTTGATCAAGATGAAATCTTCATGGATTTCTTGTGAATCCACTTCAGTGCATCTTTTATATTTCCCAATAACTTTACCTCCTTCTACTGACTATGTGCATCCTGTTTCTTGCTAATTCAAACCTTTGTGTGTGTGTGTGTGTATCTGTGTGTTTGCTGAACTGTGCTGTTTTTTTTTTCCCTCTCTTATCTCTAGTTTCTCCGTATTTTGATCTTCCACTATCAGACCACTGCCTGCCTGCTATAAGATTAAATCCAGACTACTTTCCATCCTTTGTGTAGCAAATATCCAGGTGCTATTTCAATAGATCATTTAAAGCAGGCCCAGCTCCTTCCTATTCCAGTCACAGCCATGATATGATCTCTTATGAAAGATTCATCTCCTTAGAATGGTAGAACTATCTTGTTACCTTCCATCAGAATCTTCTGTGTTCCCCACATATTTTACTCTCTCTTTCAAAAAGTATATCACTCACTCATATGACACTTTATTCACGGAGTGCAACTTATTCAAATTTCTCACCATGAGAAAAAACCCAAAAACAAACAAAAAAGCCAACTGCTTCAGAAGTAGTTATTGTCATCAAAGAAGTGATATCTGAATGCCTTTTGCTGGAACAAGGACACTTGCAGATATGACACAAAACCCACCGTCCTCTTGACTTCACTTTTATTCCTGTATTTAAGCATAGTGTTTTATTTAGTGTTCAACTTTTGTGTTTTGTTCAGCAGTAATACAGACCCATTGAGATATTCCATTTACCACTTAACTGTCAGTGCCGTGCAGCACAAATCCCTTCAGTGCAAAACAATTCATTCTTAAGAGATCTTCTGAAAGCCATGTTAAGAAACAGCTTCCATAGGAGCATTTCCCCAAATCGTCATGCCCTTCACTCAAATGTTTCTATCACTATTTTAAAGGTGAGGTGTCAAGACCTTTTGATGAGAAGCAGAAAAACAGGAGGAATATGCCTTCAACTGGAATTTAAAATTTCCTGGGTCATCCAGGGAGTTGTACCATACACAGTAGTCCTTTTTTATTTGAATGGCCATGGGCCGGGTCTGTGCTATGATGCATGGTCTGCTTAAATGCTATTAAAAAATGTTCTTTATTTTGAATATACATCCTTGCAAGTGGGATTACTTTAATAGGAAGAAAAAGTTAGGATTAAAGACCTAGAAACTGAGTCTTTAGAAGTGGTTTGTCTGTAACCATAAATTCCCTTCCCTTGCCACCCACACAGACAACTAACCTCTTTCTACTTTAAATGAAATCAGCATTAAAGTGCTCATATCCCACCATTAGTTTCCCAAGGCTAACAGAAAATTATATTAGAAACCATTTTAATACACACACAGTAGTAAGAAAATTTTTCAACTAACCCCCCTCATTTTTAATGTGACATTTCTACCTCACCTCAAAGTCTATAAATCTGCTTATACTTTTAAAGTAAGAGCTGCAATAAATCACCAATGTCAACACATTGCAGAGTAAAGTATTAATTACAAACCCACCATTTCAGAACCAATCCAGGCACTTGGTTTAGGTGTTTAGCTCAGTGAGTTACCGAAACTGGTATTTGCTTTGCTTTAGTAATTTTCTCTGTAAATAGTGCTTATTGCAAAAGATTTATGGTAAAATTTATATAATACTTATGTATTTTAAACCACATCATTCACTAAATATGGTTAGTTTTTCTATTACTCTCAGCCATTGTAAGTGCTAAGAGGGATGTGCAAAAAATGTGTGTTTTAAGTTGGAACCTTCTTCTGGAAAGTGCCACTTGCAGTTCAGTTCTCACTGGCAGAGGAAGGAATAAATCCAGGCTGTTTGCACCTTAAGCCTTGCTGTAACCACTGAGTTTATCTTATACTGATGCATTATTTTAACTCAAGTGAAAAATTTTATATGATATAGAAGTTTTTTAGCTTTATCTTTCAAGCAAGACAAGGAAAGCACCATGTTTTTCTTCTCCTTCCTTCCCTCAACCCCCACAGTTAACTTCAAGCCAATTAGAGCAACAAGATACGCCAGAATGGCTTTTGTGACTCTATTCATTTTATAGAACTACTTATATTTTCACTGAGTGTTAGAAAGATTATCTAGGTAAGTAATTAGTGCACCTGGAAGATGGGACACACTAAGTACCAATCTCAGCTGCAATAAAAATAGAATTCTTTAAAGGATCATCAAAAGGAGAAAATGATCACAATCTATGCCACAGCCCGTTGTGGCTGGGGAGGTGGAAAATAAGATTTTTCAAATCCTAATATTTTAAAGAGCGTTTTTCATCTCAAGGGAATAAAGTTAGCGCAATGGGACTGGGTAAAAGCAGAACTGCAAACAGCATTCTTTTCTCTGAAGGGAATAACATTAGTATGGGGGTATTGGATGAAAGCTGAATCACATCCACAGCTTCCTCCCAGCAAAATGTAGGGAATTTTACTCACTGATGGCAATATTGCATTTGTTCACTTGATTTAATACCTGCTGAAGGAATGTCATCCCCCACTTGCAGGTACCTGCAAGCCTTCTCTGGTTGTACTGATTTTGGTCACAACACAAAGAAATGCCACCTGTCTCGGGGGTACATCCTGCACTGATGTATTCTTGCATCAAAACACAGAGAGTTTCCCTAGTCCAACAGCAGCCAGGAAGCGAGCATGTAAAATTGATTATACTTTTTAAGAGACATCTGAAGGTGACAGAGAGCTATTAAAAACCCAAGCAGTCAATGTTAAGTGATGGTTATAAAATTTATTATATTTGAATAATGCTATTTAATTAGAACACTGCTATTAAAAATGTTCCATGAAATCAAGGATATTGATAAATCAATAATTGATGAAAATTGCTTTTCCCTAACTGTTTTAAATTAAAATGCAGTTAGAATTTGAACTACCATATTTTTTCTGAGATTGTAGAAGACTTTTTTATAGCCTAATTGCTTTATTTAATTTTATTTTGATTAGGGGTTTCAAAATCAGAAAAAGGAGGTTTGAATTTGAACCTTTTGCTTGAAGTCTTATACAGCTATAATGAATCTTCACATCACAGTGATAAAATGCTCATTTCTGAATAACATGCTTAGTTGAAAGAATCAGCAAAAGTGACTCAAATTCATGATAGAATATAAACTTGTTTATGGTGTTAATTTTGATATCCAAGCATA